ATTTATGGGAGCATTACACCTATACAATGGACAAGGTAAGAATACGTCAGTGTTTATAATTTTTGCCCATAGACGGTCAAAAACATAGATTTAATCTAGATTAATGAACTCTTTCATATACAAAAATCAACTGAAAACCTGTTGGACAATATCTCTTTACTTCTAAACAGATAGGTGTTGTTCGATTAGATACAACCCTATTCTTGAAGTTTCCGAAAGGGCAAGAGATGATCCTAAAATTATACTCGAAATCATTTTGTTCTTGCGGATGGTGTAACTTCGTAATCAGTCTTTATTGATGCTGAGTTGATAGAATAATTTTACCATGCCTTCTAATGCAACAATTTATCTTCTCATTTGAAATGTATGAACTTTCATACTCAAATTCAATTAGGCTTGTTGATACCTTCTTTACATAAGCATACCATTGTCTGAACTAATAAAGTATAATACATTTTGCAAATTGGTTGTTTGATTTCCTGCAAGTGGATGTGATTGTGAACAAGTGATAGAGTAGTGAATAGAGTGTCGAACCCACGAAAACTATGTATTTAATCGAGCTAAAATTAATTGTAACTTTAATCGAATAGTAAACAAGTTGTAATTTTTTTATATTAATCCCTAAATTATCAGTTAAACTAGTGAAAGAAAGTAAATGTGTTTTTCAAATATGTGATATGCATTGCTAAGATGTCGAATCCTCTTGTTATTCTATTTTTAGTGTAACAATTAAAAACACAATTTAAAATTATTCATGTTGGTCAATGTCCCTAATTTAATTGAAAGTCTCTCTCGATTGCGATCAAATCTATTCTCCTTATGTGATGCTTCCATCTCTCGATAAAAGATGCAAACACGATAAATGTATTAACAAGTGCTAGAATACTTATTGAAATCTAATCTGAATTTTTGATAAATTGAGACCATGAAGATGGATCTTGAAATCTTGAATCTCTTCAATGATTTCTTGATTAATCTTCACTCTTGCCTTCTCTTCTTTGTCCTAAAATCAAGTTTGAATCTTCACTTGATTGAATTTTTGTAAGTATCCTTCAATTCTCTTACAAAAACTATGAATTTGATGATAATAATTGATAAATGTTGAAGTATGTGATATATATGAGAGGTGTAGGAGAGGTCTTTTAATATATTCCGCTGTTAGGTATTTGTAGGAGTCGAAAATTGGTTGAAAATTTAACTCAAAGAGCTACAATTTTGCTATAGATAGAAATTTTCCAATTCGGGCGTTTACTATGCTAAAAATTGGATTCAATCTTTGACTAAAAATCTGGAAGATATCTTATGTGATTGGAAATCAATTTATGATAATATTCTGATCATATTCCACTCCTTTTTAACTTGTAGTTGCATCTGATTGACTCCTAGCAATTTTCAAAGTATCTCTTATGGTCCAAATCAACCATTAGATATTTGCAATTTGGTCCTCAAACTTTGTACTTCGTTATTTTTCGCTTCTTTCTTTCAATTTCACTTCCAATCATCAAGTTTTACCTAATAAATGAAATATACAATAATTTAGGCTATAATTGCATAAAAGAACTATTAAATATCTATATTTTTAGGTTCAAATAGTGTATAAAATACACTTATCACAAATATGTAAATTGTTGATTTAATTTCTGGTATTTTTATGCATAAGTAGGATTTTCTAAGAAATAAAGCATATCCTTTGATGGAAAGCTGTGCTTCTTTTCTGTTGGACTGGTTGATTGAAGGCCGTGGAGGATTTCTTGAAACAAATCCCTCAACCTCCCCAGAGCATACTTTTATTGCTCCTGATGGTAAGCCTGCGAGTGTGAGCTACTCATCGACCATGGACATGGCAATCATTAATGAAGTTTTCTCTTCCATTGTTTCTGCTGCGGAGGTAGATGTATCTCCTGAATTAATGAATTTTATTTTATTTCATTCATCTTACTTTGTTGGGTGTTAATTTAATGTTGAATTGAAATATAGGTTTTGGGGAAAAAGGAAGATGCTCTGATTGCAAGAGTTCGCAAAGCTCAACCACGTCTTTATCCAACCAAAATAGCGAGGGATGGTTCCATCATGGAGTGGGTTAGAACTTCAAATCGTTTTTCTTCTTTTTTCTCTTAAGCTCGAATGCTTTCAAGAGGGTTACAATGAGAAATTATAGACTCCTTATCCTCTTTGTCATGACAGGTGCAAGACTTTGAGGATCCTGAGGTGCATCATAGGCATGTATCGCACCTATTTGGCCTATTCCCAGGGCACTCGATTACTCTTGAAAAAACTCCTGATCTATGTAAAGCAGCAGACTATACCTTATATAAAAGAGGTCCGTATTTTAAATGAGATTAGAGTTGCACGTTTGTGTATGTGATTTCCCTACTGCTCATCTCATTTATTACGCTTCCGCTTTTCTTGTTGAGAGCTGCGTACCATTCTCAGCTTTACTAAGCAAAGATGTGAATTTTCTTCCGAATTTTGACGTGTCTTGAATGAAACAGGAGAAGATGGTCCAGGGTGGTCGACTGTGTGGAAAGCTGCTCTTTGGGCACGTCTTCGTGATAGCAATCATGCGTATCAGATGATCAAGCATCTGTTTGATTTGGTGGATCCTGATCGTGAAAGTGATTATGAAGGAGGACTTTATAGTAACCTATTTACTGCCCATCCCCCTTTCCAGATTGATGCAAACTTTGGGTAAGCATCATCTGTCTCTACGGATATTAAACTTTAACGAAGTCCAGGGACGACTAATCATAATTTCTTTTTTTTTTTCTTTTTTTTTTTTCCCTGCATTTAATACTTCTTGATATGCTAATTTTGCAATCTATGGTCCCAGATTTTCTGCAGCAGTTGCAGAAATGCTAGTTCAGAGCACGGTGAAAGACTTGTACTTACTCCCTTCTCTTCCGCGGGATAAATGGGCAAATGGTTGCGTGAAAGGCTTGAAAGCACGGGGCGGTGTTACAGTTAGCATTTGTTGGAGTGAAGGAAAACTTGATGAAGTTGGGCTGTGGTCAAAAAATCAAAATACTGAAAAGAGTTTACATTATGGAGGGATTACTGCAACAGTAAAAATATCATCTGCCACAGTTTACACTTTTGATAAGCAGTTAAAATGTGTCAAGACTCAGTCTCTGTATTGATTGAACTTTCCTCTGAAAACAGACACAAATAAAGTTACATTAAATAAAGTTACATTGTCTTATTATGCATTGTTAATTTTTACCTTGTTTCTTCAATTAATGTAAATGTATTGAAGAATGACTCTCACTCAACATGTAGAAGGACTATTTATGTTTCCTGGTTAATGGTGAAAGTATATTTGATGGTGACTTACATGAAACATGATTGTAAATATAGGTTTTGGGGAAAAAGGAAGATGCTCTGATTGCAAGAGTTCGCAAAGCTCAACCACGTCTTTATCCAACCAAAATAGCGAGGGATGGTTCCATCATGGAGTGGGTTAGAACTTCAAATCGTTTTTCTTCTTTTTTCTCTTAAGCTCGAATGCTTTCAAGAGGGTTACAATGAGAAATTATAGACTCCTTATCCTCTTTGTCATGACAGGTGCAAGACTTTGAGGATCCTGAGGTGCATCATAGGCATGTATCGCACCTATTTGGCCTATTCCCAGGGCACTCGATTACTCTTGAAAAAACTCCTGATCTATGTAAAGCAGCAGACTATACCTTATATAAAAGAGGTCCGTATTTTAAATGAGATTAGAGTTGCACGTTTGTGTATGTGATTTCCCTACTGCTCATCTCATTTATTACGCTTCCGCTTTTCTTGTTGAGAGCTGCGTACCATTCTCAGCTTTACTAAGCAAAGATGTGAATTTTCTTCCGAATTTTGACGTGTCTTGAATGAAACAGGAGAAGATGGTCCAGGGTGGTCGACTGTGTGGAAAGCTGCTCTTTGGGCACGTCTTCGTGATAGCAATCATGCGTATCAGATGATCAAGCATCTGTTTGATTTGGTGGATCCTGATCGTGAAAGAGATTATGAAGGAGGACTTTATAGTAACCTATTTACTGCGCATCCCCCTTTCCAGATTGATGCAAACTTTGGGTAAGCATCATCTGTCTCTACGGATATTAAACTTTAACGAAGTCCAGGGACGACTAATCATAATTTCTTCTTTTTTTTTCCCTGCATTTAATACTTCTTGATATGCTAATTTTGCAATCTATGGTCCCAGATTTTCTGCAGCAGTTGCAGAAATGCTAGTTCAGAGCACGGTGAAAGACTTGTACTTACTCCCTTCTCTTCCGCGGGATAAATGGGCAAATGGTTGCGTGAAAGGCTTGAAAGCACGGGGCGGTGTTACCGTTAGCATTTGTTGGAGTGAAGGAGAACTTGATGAAGTTGGGCTGTGGTCAAAAAATCAAAATACTGAAAAGAGTTTACATTATGGAGGGATTACTGCAACAGTAAAAATATCATCTGCCACAGTTTACACTTTTGATAAGCAGCTAAAATGTGTCAAGACTCAGTCTCTATATTGATTGAACTTTCCTCAGAAAACAGACACAAATAAAGTTACATTGTCTTATTTTACATTGTTAATTTTTACCTTGTTTCTTCAATTAATGTAAATGTATTGAAGAATGACTCTCACTCAACATGTAGAAGGATTATCTATGTTTCCTGGTTAATGGTGAAAGTATATTTGATGGTGACTTACATGAAACATGATTGTATAACGAATTAAAATCATAATCTACAATTTGAGGGAAATAATGGATCTAATAAAAATTTTGTTTTTTCAATTTTCGCACGGATGTTACGGAGAAAACTTCGAGAAGAATGATTTATTGAATGTACTAGTAAGAACATCCATTTTCGATTTTATAAATCATGGGCTTTTTCAAATGTATTTATTTTTTTATTATTATTTATTATTATTATTATTATTATTATTATTATTATTATTTTTTCCTTCTAACAAAACTAGTTACGGAGACAAGAATATTGAAAATGACCCAACCAAGGTTAATGTTGGACTTTGACCTCTTATAATTTATACCCGAAGGCCAAAACCCTTTTCACAAAACCCTATGTTTTACAGTGACGACACAAAACAGCAGGAAAATGGCTTGTCGTGGTTTCCTTTCCAGATCTCTTATGTCCACTGCGAGGGCATCTGCCTTCCGCTCTTCTCCGCCACTCGCCGCCCGCCGCATCCGTCCTCCCCCGTCATCCGCCCCTCGCCGTTTCTCCTTCTCCAATCCTAGGTCCGGAATCCCAATTTTGATTTTTTTTTCTAACTTATTATTGACGTAGGTTTGTATACTTCCTCTGTTAAAATGAAGCTTCAAAATCTTAGAAAATGGACCTGATTTTGTTCTGGTTTTCTAACCCTGTTTCAGGTCCTTTGGGTTTCAAAGGTTGGGTTCTGAAATGAAATTTTACAATATCTTACAAGTTATTCGATTTTTTACTCATGGGCTTCTTTCTTTTATTCGTTTTTTCTGCAATTTTAAAATAGTATTTTGAAGCCCAAAGAATATTACATTTTTCTTTGCCTGTGTTCCATCGTTGAATCAATATTATTACGAGACATAGATCCTTTCCTCCTGGCTTTCTAGGTTTGTCGAAATAGTTTTATTCTGTGCGCTCTTTACAAAAAGATGTTTTTATTTGTCAATGTAGGACCTTTGGGGAGCTGGGGTGCGTGCAGTCACTGATACCTCTGCATAATATGGCTGGAGTTAGGCTGACATCTTACTTGGCAACCAATGTTCGAGCCTGCTGTGAGCTGTCCCACGGTATCTTCTGCCGTTCTTGTCAGGATCGCTAGTAGTTTCTTTGTGAGTCTTAAACTGTTGTTACTAGGAATGTCCAGCCAACTAATGCCCATGACTAAAAAAATAATAAAATTAAATGAAAAAAAATCATATTGTGTTTCTTCCTGACGCACATTGATTTTATCAGTGTCTTTATCTTTGAAATATGTTGATGAGTTGAGTCTGGCTATTTCTGAGATATTGTTCATGAGTTGAGGGGGTGAAATAATTGAATTATTTATGAGCTTGTGAAAATTTGCTGATAAGAAAGAGTTGGGATTATTGGGATTGATAGGGAGGACTAGGGAAGATGGGTGATGTCAGCAGCACTCCCCGACACTCAAATGCAGGGCCTGATGCCATATTGTGGGTTGATTTTTTGTCCTTTTTTCTGTAAATTGATCTAATATAATCTTTCTTCGAGTTCAGATAAGATTCATTTACGCGAGAGCTATTTCGGCACAGATTATACGATTTATAATTATTACAATGTTAGACTATCTTATTTCATGGCATGGGGAACATTTATATTTTTATGTGTATGTGTATTTAAACTGAAAAGCAAAACTATTGCTCTCACTCATGTAAATTGAATGATTTGTGATTGAGTCGTATGTCTTTCTATATATTTTTGCTTGTCCATCTCGTTAAATAGTATAGTAACAATTCAATGAAAATTCAAAGAAATAAGAGAGAAATTAAAAACATTAGGATCATACCTCATCTTCTCGTCCAGCTCGAGATATGGAGAAAATCATGAGTCATATTGAAACGTTTTAAAAGATGGAAAAGGCATGAAGAAGGAAGCTAACCCTATTTTGACCGCCTATAATGCAAGCTTAGGTGCTGCGAGCCTAGGCGCCTTTTATTTTTTTAATTTAAATAAACTAATTAAAAAAATTAATTATTATTAATAATCCTAGAATAATTAAAATAATATTAAAAATAGGGAACCGCCTAGGCTACTTGAGGCTTGACAACCTTGGGCTTTACAATTCCAGGCTAATGCAGAAGTTGTACACTCTGTTTATTTGACCTGAAATTCGTTCTCTGTTTTTTGTACCATTGTTTCCTATGCTTTCATAATTTTAAATTTTACATTTCTAATGCATGAACAATCTTTTTCCAAAAATATTGCTACGAGTTTCAGTTTTTTAAGCTTTACCAAGTACCTGTAACATGCGGTAAATTGCTTGTATTTTCAAGCCTCTCAAGTGTACTCCAACAATGCTCTCTATTTTGACTGTTAATATTGCTTTTTTCAAACATTTATTGTTTACCCCTCATATTTTGATTAACATATTCTTTTTAGATGTCAATATGGCCAATCAATTCATATATGGTTTGAATAATTTGAAAAGTAGAGTATTGAAATATTTAGTTTATCATTATAGAGTAAGAATCGAGAGTGAATTTGAGTTTCCAAATTTGGAGAGTTGACCTACTCTCTATTTTAAAAAGTTAAAATAGAGAATCACTTAGAGTTTAGTTTTATGCATTGGCTCTCTAGAATAAAGAGCATCTTGTATTTAGAGTCTTTCGGTAATTCTCTTAAATTAGTGAGTTATATTATTTGCTAGAATGTTCAACAGTAAAAGGATATTGATCCTTGATTTTACTTTACTCTGATTTCTTGTGAATAAATTTGTAAATTTCTCTGTGAAGTCATTATTGTCTTTTATAACATGTATCTGATTAAAATTACGTGTATATTAGAGGCTACTTGAAATAATTTTGCTTATTTGGATTTTTGAAACTGGTGATTGAATAATTGGATTTTCTTTTATTTGATGAGTGAAGTGCATAACGTGGCTTTGCCACTGTAGTGCAATGTTTCTAGTGGCTTATTTTTTGACTTGAGATTGATGAAGGCAATAGCTGACAAATATAAGGGGTTGTGCACAATTTGTTCCTGATGAAGATTAGAATAGTTTGCTGATACCATTGATCTTTAACTTTGTTTATGATTTCTACGATTCAAACAGCTCTATACCAAAAAGTCAAATTATTTGAATTCTGCTTTAGACACTTTAAGCTGCCAACTGCTGTGAATTGACTGAAAAGCTGATGAAATGATAGGTATTGTGTCTATTTATGTCTATAACACACGCATATAGGAATTTCCATACAGGTGGTTAAATAGCTTACACCAAAACACAATGCACTTGTATCTTATCTGATACAAATTTTATACATCTCTTATTCTTTATTATATAGTTGACTGATAAAGAAGTATTCAACTTTCCATCCAAAATTGAGATTGTGATTTTTTTTTTTTTTCTTTCTAATACAGGATTGAAGGATTAGTGCGTATGTGTGTGTGTGTCTAAAGAGTGATGTGTTCGCATAGATATTTAACCTTCTTGAAGGTGTCCTTGTTTCTTAAGTTTCAAACTATTTTTTTAACAACACTGTAGAGTCTGTGAACATTTGATTCTTCTGGGGATTTCAGTTGCTTTGAGTGTGCATGTTTGGCTCAGGAAACATGACGCTACTATTTCAACTAACTGTACCTTATAAATATGCGGTTTATACTGTTTTCCATATCTGTCATCCTTGCCATTAGTATGCTTTTGCTAATACAAATAATGCAAATTTTATGTCGTGGCAGGTACTTGAAAGTATGGGTGGACCAGCACACCAGGTGCTCGAATATCTGAGGTCTCTGCATGTAGGTCTATTCGACGGGAACATCCTGTTTGGGCAGGAAAAAATAATAGTAGTGCGTTATTATGTTTTTCGTATCTAATTTACCTTCATACTTAATCTGTACATGGAGTTTGATTTGTGTTGATCTTATATTCTTATTAGTGGTTGAAGTTTATGGATTTCTGCAGCATTCGAATGTTATTTGCTGCCAGACTTGAACATCTCTTTCATTAGAGAATTGGGCAACTGAGGATCCAGACACCTGAACCACCTTTTTCATTAGAATTGGACAACTGAGAATCAATTAAATTGTGGTTATTCAGCACTGCCCAAATCCTCAAACATTTGTTTGCCTATAAGAGCTGTCATTAAGAGTATAAAACTTCTGAACCTCTCACTGCCAAGCCCAAAAAAGGGCATTTGCCAGAAAATTCACACGTAGGTCTTATCTCGGGATAATTCTTAAGCCAAAGATGAATATGCTCATTCGTCTTGCAGAGAAAGATTTAACCTAGTGGAGGACTTTTAAGCTTTAATCACCAAGATTCTTTCTCGTGTCCTAGCTGTGGATTATTGTACAAGGAAAGGTCTAATGAAAGGTGTTTGATGATGGATACAATTTGTTGCATTGTAGTTTTATGATGGCAAACAAGAATCTTATTCTCGTCGGTCCATGGTCCCTTCCCTGCTTTAAGTCTAAACTCAGTTCGGGAAAAGTTTGCTAGTTCAAAAGGTGTACAGGTGGTGAGAACCATTCGATATAGGTCTATTTGGGTATAACTAAGATTCTATTAGTAGCTTATCTGAGGCAAATTTGTAGTCCTTTCAAATTTAACTACCCCACCCAACCCAACAGTTATTTCATATGGGATAGGAAATTGACTCTTGGCGGAGGCAATCAGCAATATATTTATTAATGTGATATTTTTGGGGTTGACATCAACAGGCACGGTATCGTATGCTTATAGTAGACATCTACTTTACAAAATGTCTACATATTAAGGGAGCATAAATCTACCACTATTGCTAATTTAGGAATATCATGCTCTCTGCATGCCTGCGGATATCAATTGTTTGATGCTCAGCACTAGACATTGTAAGTTAAAAAAATAAAAAATTTCATGTGGCAGTCCAAAAAGGCTCGATTGGACGAGTAAGAAGTTCTACTCCAGCTCTAGAAAAATCTCCATGACAAGAAGACATCAATTTTTATAGCGCATTCACAATGCAAGAACATGCTTGAAATGGGGGTGGATTTATGACTGTTATTTGAAAATGACCCAAAAGAGCTTTCATAAAATGTCCTTCAAAGTGAGATCCAATCGGTGTGGGTTTGGGGTGGATTCCTCAAGCCTAATTCTAGGGTCATGTTTGATAACCCTTTTTTTCCATGGAAAATGGAAAACATTTTCTATTTCCATTCAAAATTGGGTGTTTGATTGCAAACAAGTTCCATGGAATTGGTTTTCCTTTTCCCACCACCACGTGACCCTCTTTTCTAACTGTTTAAGGAAAACTAATTCCTTTGGTTTTGGTAAGAAAATGATTTTCAACTTTATTTTTTTATTAAATTTTCAGCAATGGGAAAAAAAATCTATCAACAATTGTAAATTTTTTATTCCTTTAATTGATAATTTTCGTGAAAAAAAGACCAAATGAGCGCCAAAAGATCCAAAATTTTAACATTTTTCAGGTGAAAAATTATACTAATCAAACACATTTAATTAACAATTTCCAAAAAAACAAGTTCTTGATAACAATTCCATGAAATTCGTTTTCTTTTCACTCAAATTTCATCATTGCAATCAAACGGAACCAAAGTAATATAGGTTGAATTGCACCTCACCTATCAGTTATAACTTTTGGACAAAGTGATTGTATCTCACTACACCATTTCGACTCGGGAGTTGTTTAAATACAACGTTTCCGAACTGTCACCCGCATTAGTAGAAGTTATATTGGAGATCAGTAGCAAGCAGCCTTTCACCCTGTATCCTTGGAGGCATAACCTGCGATTTACCTCCCTCACGATGCTTCAGGGCAGGGATGGTGGGGGACCCTTAAGGTTAGGATTTAACCTTTTATATTGGAGATCAGTAGTCATAATAAATTCTAAAAATTAAAGACCAATGACAATTTTATTAATTTTTTCTTAATTCTATTAATACATCTATTCTACCTATTGTGTGAAAACCACCTAGTAATAAACTGGGATCTCTTTTGTTGGGCGTGGTAAGGATAACTGTGGGCAACTTGACTATTCTCATCTCTGCTCATAATATTAGTAGACTCGGATCAAGTACAAAACCTTTAATTCACTTCCACTGTACCCAGAAAATGCCCACTAAATGCCGAAAGACTACAAAAGAAGCCCCAACATGAAGACACCCATGTAGATACTGATGTTCCCAGAAAAAAACTATGGAAAACTGGTCACTATACCCACCAAATCTTCTACTATTTCCTACTTTTTATCACCATTATTGCCAAGTCTTTTGACCCCACCACTTAAGAATCATATTACACACCCCGCCCGATATGATATAATTCTGCCACCACTTCCTGCGACATCTATATTCTGCATCAAAGCTTATCATTTACTCAAATTGTTATTTTAGTGTAGGAGGGGGGAAAATAACTCTTTCTTGGTGGCGTCCATCCTCTTTATATTCATACCTACCTCATATAGAGCAAAACTATAGAAAAGATAAACCATAAAAGTAGAAATGTTAGATCAAGAATAAGAGCATATATTCATCCACGAGTAAGTGAAGGAAATAGAAGAACAAAGATAAACTAACCAAAATTCTTTGCCAAAAAAGAGAATATCAAACATTAACCTAATATAGCAGTGTCATGGCAGGCAATCCAAGCAAGTTGTAAGAAAGGAAATGGGATTTGTCGTAGGATGATCGACATTGTTTGCTTTTAATTAATCCAATAAAAAGCCTATAAAGTTGATGTTGTTTCAAAGAGATAAAAAGAGGAAAATGAGAAGTGGGGGAATCTAAAGCTTGACAAAGGCAAAAATGAAAGATGACGTAATCTTTTCTTTTCGAAACAACTAAGCAGTACTTGGTGGGGACAGTGTACATACATATGATAAGTTCAAGATGTCCAATATCACTTCCTCCTCATGTCAATCTCAATTTATTCTATCCCTCTCATATAGAACCATTTTAAGAGTCAAGAAAGAAGGATTCAATTTAGTCTCTTCGTCCATTCACTTTACTTCTACCACTAAGAATCAAGAAAAGAGAGCTTATCAGGCAATAGAAATCTGCAGCTAGCACAAAAAGATGGAAACTGATAAAAATAGCGATCGAGGAGAATGGTTGAATTTAAGCCTGGGAAGGGATCCATCTCAAACGTTAAAAGACTCGGAGTCACAATCAAGACCTGCTTCTACGAAGGTTTTCTCGTGTAACTTCTGCTTGAGGAAGTTCTACAGCTCACAAGCATTGGGGGGTCATCAAAATGCTCACAAAAGAGAAAGAGGTGCAGTAAGAAATTACCAGTGGCAGAGGATGGCAATGATGGCTTTACCTATTCATACTTCCATGATAAGATCACTTGGCGTTCGACCGCACTCCCTTGTGCACAAGCCAGACATGGCTCAACTGCTCGGAGGAAGATTAAGTGAGGCTAGTACTGGATTTGGAATACAATATCTGCCCAACCACCTGGAGGAAGCAGCAGATTTGATGTGGCCTGGAAGTTTTCATTTGGATTCAAATCAACCGGTTCCAAACAAGCTCGACCTGAATCTCAAACTGTAATTAGCCTATTCGTACTATCCCGATTGGAATTATTCATTATAAGTCACTATTTAAAGGGTATGAACATCACTAGGTGTGCTATCATAAAGTAGGACTAGTTCCGGAATTTCCTCCTCTTGTCTGAAAGAGATTTACTGTTCTTCATTTAAGATGTAGTGCACAAAGCCTAAATTCACTTGCTTTTTATATGATTCTAATCTCTAAGCACATGAATAACGCTACTGAATACTCTTTTCAATCATGTTTATGCTTGTTATAGAAATGAAAAAAGAACCGACTTTTACAAAAAAATGTTCACTGGTTCTACTGTGTGTACATCCGGGTTAACACCCCAGATATGTACACACAACATTATTGTAACTTTAAAGCAAGAGGATATACTGTTTAACTTCAGATGTGAAGTCCGAGGGGCCACCATCTAGAGGCTCCGGTCCAACCACCATCCTCAGCTCTACAATTCTATCTCTACCATTTAACAAGAGTAGGGCAAACTTACTGCTGAAATGAGCCAAAGCAATGCTTATAAGCTTGGCCGAATGTGTGTAAAATCTGAAAGAACTTTAAAATGAATTGTTGAGAAAATGGCTACAGATGTCACATTTTCAACATATAATACTAGAAACAAGCTTCAATCAGTTAAAGGGAAATTTTATTTTTTTTAAAAAGAGCAGAAAACAAGTGTTGAATTTACTTTGAAGGAACATTGTACGCATAAATCCAGAAGAACGTAAGTAAAAATAACTGGTACTGGAATCATAATGCTTTATTCACCATAAAGATGTACAAGTGTTTCCACAGCATAATTACCATATCCACTATCCAGATATCCTATATTAGAGTTTGCAGAATACCAGCCAAACTATTGATAAATAATTGTTTTTCCCTATGAAGAAACAAAAATGGTGGTTTTGTTACCAGCCTTTACAAAAGATTCAAACAAAGTGGAACTGAAAATTTTCCTGCATTTCAAGGAAATCTAACGAACTTTAGAATTAGTGAACCAGCACCAAAAGTGTAATGAGTTCTGAGTTAATTGTGAATAATTTCCAGAGGAATTTGTCAGGGTGACAATCTTCAAGAACTTTTAGATCGTTGACTCCATGTGCACATCATCAAATTTCTTCGTACCATGCCTCAAAATAATGAGCAGGAATTTCTGAGGGTGGAGACAATGATGCAACGCATTGGAACTGTGCCAAGTAAACAATAGAATGTAAATTAGATTGTTACCAGGGAATACAAAATTCCAGTTGAAGATTTTTAAGGCTGCTTCACTGTAATGTGACATATTGCAAAAGTTATGCTAAATGAAAATGAGATACCTTGTGGTCCATATATTTCTCTCTCACTGCACGTGCACTTGCTCCCATTCTTAGTTGCAGACTGTGAAGTGTGACCACACACTCTTTCAGTTCAGATGGTTTTAAACCTGTATATTTTTGCAGGGCCAAGTTCTGCAAAAAGAGTTCAATTGAAAATACAACTGCAAAACTGAAAATCAGTGAAACAGAAAGCTTGGGACACGATACTGCTAAGTGGCAATGAAATTCAAATTCAACATATCATATGAGAGAGGAATAATTTCCTTCATGAGGGGTTGTCTTACCCATGGGTGAAAGTTTGGCTTCATTATCAATCTTGAAAGAAAGATGGCTGAAGCAGCAATGGTAGATGGAATGAACCGGACGCAATGAAAATCCAGTAAACTTAGTTCAGCAATATAACAACACAGGAAGTCAAATTGCATTTTTGAGTACTGGATAAGACAATATATCATGTTTAATTATGAGTAAGAATAATATGAAAAGCAAGAAAAGTAGAAGCATAATAATGTTAAAGAGTATCAGATTTTCAGCGCACCAGAGGTTTTTCTTGAGCAGCCTTGATAAAAATCCTACAAAATCAACATAAAAGCATGTCATAAGCAACGAGAAGATATATTTATAACCCACTGCACTATGACTTTGATATGGAGAAAAAAGTGTAAAAAAATAAAAGAACAAATATACTACGAAGAGATTTAAACCTGAGAAATGTTTTTGCTGTGGGATCACCCATCTCATAGTTTAAAAACTTCAGCACATCTCTCTCCATGTGTATAACCTTTAGTTCACCAAAAGAAAGATTTACATCCAATGTAATATGTTTTCAACCCAAATCGAACAGCCACGAAGTAACACGACTCACGTCTTCTTTTGAGTACAAGTTGTCCGTCATGTAGCAAAATTCTTCAACATGAGGTGGACTGATTTCTTCATATTTTCTGCAGTTTTTAGTGGGTGAGAGAAAGAAACTGCATGAAATATACAGAATGGTCTATTTGATAGGAAGGATTCGATAGTATTGGACAATACTAAGGAAAAAATTTGCAAAAATAATGTATTTTATATTATCAAGTCTTGGACAGAAGATATAATGAGATAGTAAGCATACGCTGCAAGAAGCATGCAAGATACACCAAGAAGCTGAAGCTTATTCCTGCTCAAGTCATGGGAAGACAGATACTTGTCGATATAGTTTATTGTAAGATAAGTGGTCTCCGAAACAAGTTTGAATTCCTCTGCAACCTCAACCAACCAATCAACCAGAATCTCACGCATAGCTGGTGTTATATCCGTCTGAACTGTCTCCATGTAATCAGACAAAGGCCTCCTCTTTGCCTCTACCTAATATTACAAACCTTTTATCAGACAACTGTCTTATGTTAAATCATTAGCAACCTCAAACTGGACCACAGGCAAATTATAGTGCTTGTTCACCAGCTTCACTTTTTTCAATGAACCAAGGGAATGCACAGCATGCGGACAAGAATTAAATCGAGCTATAGTAGGAAGACACAGAAAAGTGGGAGAAAAGGGACAGCATAGTTTTACTAGAAATGTATGTCAGAATTATCGAATGCAGTCACTGCTACTGATAAAAGGGATCGAATAACCACTACTGCCAGGCACTAATGAATGGAAAAATAATAATAATAGATAAATAAACACGAAAATCCCAAAACTGAATGCACACAGCTTCAAACTCAAAAAGTCGAGTACAAATCAACAGCAAAATCTCAAGAATGGAGAGCACCAAATTCGTGATAATGGATAAGAATAAGAAGAAAATTACCTCCAGGGAGTGAAGATGCCGAAACATAAGAGGAGCGTGTCTATATTTTTCCGATTCATCAGTTTCTGGGCTAACGTGGAAATCAACATTCACATCAATTTCAGTACTTGCTTTTTTATCAACCAACACCCCGATCTTCTGTTCGGGTTCAGGCACGAGTACGGGTTCCGGGGATTTGCTCGGAGCAGATTTTAGAGCCAACCCGGCAGCGTCGGATGAGATGTTGGTGAGCTCACCCAGCACGACTCGCTTCTTTGATACGGAAATCCCTTCCACAGATTCATTGAGTCTTTTCTTGGATGCCCTTGTTCTGATGGGCGTGGGTATAAGGTTTTCTTGGTCAGCCATCGAAGCCCTGTTTTAGGGTTTTTGGAAATGGTAAAGTGTTATTGTAATGCGTGTGGACGAGAGAGAGAGAGAGAGCAAATGGAACGAAAGTGTATCTATAATTCATTAATTTGATCTTTGATCAGGGGAGAGAGGCGGGGGGTGACATTATACCGCCATTTTTACAATTTCAAAAGCTTAAAGCGCGTTTGGTTTGACTTTTTCAATCGTTTTCTTTTTTAGTTTTTGAAAAGGGTAATTGGCGCAAAATGTCCATAACTTTTAGCTTAATTGTGTAAAACGTCTCCACCTTTCTTTTTTGGCATTTTTGACCTCAAATCAACCTTTCGTTGCGATGAAGGTCTTTCCATCCAAGTGTCATCCATCTTGCCGTTAATTAAAGAGAGAACTAAATTTTTTTCCACTCAATAAGGGTAAAACTATCTCACCAATTGAAAACCCTCATTTTCTTAATTTCCTTTTTCACACTTCACAGCTCGAACGGTTCCCATTCCACTCTCGGTTCTTCAAAAATTCTCATTTATCTTCCATTTCAACAATTATTGCTCCATTCTCCTCTCGTATGGTCGCATACCAGCAGGCGACATATCTGAGATACAATTATTTTGCACATTTGAAATGAATTGTATCTATTTTTGCTTCAGTTTTCGATTATTTTTGCTTCAGCAGGTAGTGGATATTTTTGTTTCAGTTTTCGATTGATTGGTGGATGAATTGTGTCTCAGATTCTGTGATAGAATTGTGTATTTAGGGACTTTTGAGTTAGTGTGTATCAACAGGTGATATATGGAAGAAAACAGGGAATTCTTTCACCAAATTTTTTCTAAAAGTTAGGGACGTTATTCGCAAATATTTCTAAAAAGTAGGGACTTTACTCGCCAAACTTTTTATAGGTAGGGATGTTTTAAACCAAAATTATAACTACGTAGGGATTATTAGCGCAACGTTCATTTGATTTCCAGAAGAAGTGAACAGGACCCGTTCATCTTCACCAATAAGCCAAAATGGGTCATTCACCATTGAACTGATACATAGAATCGATACATGCTTCACAGCACCCATTTCCACTCGATCTCCTCAATTTACCCCGTGGTCACAATAGGCATAAACTATAAATAAACATCTAGCAGTCATCTCTATAAATTGACCACCCATTCAATATATATCTTACTACATTTTTCCAGAAACCCAACATAAAAGCAGCAGTAATGGTTAGATTTCATCACTATATATGCTCTTTAATTAACGACATTTTTTCTCTTATTTAATGTAATAATTTAAAATATTTTCACACTCATTTTCCAGCTACTGTTATATATATGAACTACGTATAAGGCGGGAATAAAGGGTTCAATGGGTGGACAGTTTTACCCTTGCTGATTGGACAAAAATTGGTTCTCTCTCTTTAATTAACGGCAAAATGGATGGAACTTGGACGGAAGGACCTTCATCACAACGAAAGGTTGATTTGAGGGCAAAAATGCCAAAAAATAAAAGGTGGGGACGTTTTTCACAATGAAGCTGAAAAAGTAAGGACATTTTGCGCCAATTACCCTTTTTGAAAATGCCCAAAATGTGTTTAATCTATCATTTTCAAAAATGTATTTTCGAAAATAAGGAAAAATTTATATAATTGAAAACTCAAAACGATTTTTTCTATTTTGACAATTTTCACTTAAAAAACTCAAAACACGAAAACCGCTAAAAATAGGCCTTTTTCTTTTTTATACCTAAAAAATGCTCAGCAGTACTTTTAAATAAAATTTTGTAATATGATACAATTTAGGGCTCGTTTTGGAGTGATTTTTCACTCCAAAATTTTGACTTTTTAATCGTTATTTCACTATTCTAATTGTCATTTTTGACTTCTTCTCTCACAGGTGATCTCTACTTTTCTTCTAACAGTCAAAAAATCAATTCTCAAAGTCCCTACCAAATAGGCTCTTAGTGAAGCATAATAATTTTAAAACCCACAATATTTTTCAATTTCCACCATTTTTTTTCGTTGATCAAAATTTGGAAGAACTATTATTTCTTTTTTTTTACTGTTCAAGTGACGGCAAAATACATCCAAAAGGATGAAGAATGGATAGTTGTTTTCTTTACAACGATTCCTATTTTTTGTCTATGAATTTATTATTTATTATTTTATTTTTGTAGCAAGAAAAAATAGTAAAAACGGTAAATTCACCAAATATAAAATATATATTATATGGTAATATATTAGCATAAAATTATTATGTTTTACTGAATAATCAAATTAATTGAATAAATATCATAAAACAATTTCTAAAAATTTATTATTTTATTTTTGCAGCAAGAAAAAATAGTAAATTCACCAAATTTTAAAATATATATCATCTAGTAATATATTAGCATAAAATTATTATATTTTACTAAATAATTAAATTAATTTAATAAATGTCAAAAAATAATTTCTAAAAATTTTAGACCAAACGCATTTTCTAGTTTTCTATTTTGAGAAACCGTTTTTCAAAACAACAAACAAAACACGTTTTCTATAATTCGAAAATAATCTCTAAAAAATATAAATTAAAATGAATTAAAAATTGAAAACAGAAAAGGAAACGCAAACCAAACACTCCCTTAATTTCCCTTTTTAGTTTTTGATCTTGGTAAAATTTCTAAAACTTATTCCATTTGATATTTTTGAAAATGTACTTTAGATGTTATGAGAAATAAAAGCGATCCAATTCTCCTTTCAACAACAATCGAACACACCCAATTGACACATTGTCTCATGAAAAGGTAATTCAATTTCAATTTCTTAAAATAGCAAATATCTCATTGTTTACGAAATAAGAAGTTCGTCAATTCAGAAAGAGAAAGAAATGAAAGGCTTGGTTATTTATAACGATTTCTATGAGACATTTACGATTTCACTCACGAATTAAGCATGTAATTTTATAGTTGATGTAACTGTTTGCTGCAATCTTATAATTTACAATCACAATTTGTCATCCTCGACTCATGTCATTAATTTTTATTTTCTATTTTTTGGCGAAGTGAATTTATTATTTGTTTATATTTTATTTTTATAGAGAAAAAAATGTTATAAGATTTATTAACTTAAAAAATTAACATAAATTGTTGCATTTACTGAATAGTCAAATTAGAATGTCATAAAACAACTTTCAGAAATTTCAAACCTAACGTGTTTTTCAATTTTTTTTTATTTTTTTTTAAAAACAATTTCTTTAAAATGACAAACCAAGTATCTATTTTGCAATCTTAAAATATACTCTCAAAAAAATAAATAAAATTGAAAATGAATTCAAAATTAGAAACTGAAAATGCGAACCAAATGGAACTTATTTTTGGAGAATATGGTACCGGATCTACATGAAAATTTACCAAAAAAATGTGATTAAAAATAATTGTGATTTTTTTCTAAGAATATGTGCAATGGCCCATGGGTTATGACAAATTAAGAGGACAAATCTTTATAGAGAAATTAGCTCTTTCCATTTTATTTTTTTTGAAAAATTAAAGGCAAACATTCATGACCCATTTCATCATTTCACACAATTATGCTAGATCTGAAATTTTCCATTTAAAAAAAAAAAAAAAACTAGCAAATTATTTATAGTTTTAAAGACTTTTTTTTTTCTGCACAATAATTTCATCTCAAAAATTGTTTTGTCAAAATTAACTAACATACATTTGCAGTGAGAAGGCAAAATTAACTAACATACATTTGCAGTGAGAAGGAATGAGACTGTCCCAAAAACGAAAAATTGTAATGACTTTCCCAGTTTTTTTTTTTTTTAAAAAAAAAAAAAGAAGAAAAAGAGGGTTTTAGGCGATTACGTCCAAATATAAACAGACCGCCCCCAATCCATATTCAGCAATTGCTTGTACAGTCCAGTACCCTGGTTTCTTCTCAATTAGTTCTGTAGTTCATTATCATCAAGCTTATCCCAAATGCATCAAATTTTACATCATCAATCAACAGATTCACTGTTTGTTGTTTTCAGTCCACTACTACTACTAATATCTGTATCTCCTAGCATATTCTGCTCCTGTATTTGAGTATCAGGTGATTGATCCGTCCTATGTTCCCTCTTTCTCGATTTTGGCGTTCCAGACTTTCGTCCACTGGTGGTAGCCAAGTTTACAACCTCAATCGAAGAGTTATCCTCGGTGACACTCTCTGGTTCCAGTTGAGGTCGTTTATTGTTGTCTTGATTCAAGGAAGTACCTTCTCTTGAATCCGTTTCAGTTTTCTTCAATGCCATTTGTGGTCTATGGTTAAAGCTCCAACGGGTATTTAAAAACCATTTGCTAACCTGTATGACAAGATAGACCAATGAAATAAAGATATTTCGAATGGTGAAAGAGGAAAAGTATGGCAAGATAAATGTATGCACCTGCTGGATTGTGAGCTTTAATTCCTTCGCCAAGTTCTCTTTTACAGCTCGTTCAGGGTATTGATTTTTTCTGAAAGATTCAAGGAGTCTCTACACCAACCCAGCAACCATCATCAGACATTCAACAGAAGGAATGTGATAATATTTCCCACAGAGGAACAAACGGCTAACTCATAATGCATTCTAAATTGTTATATGAGTGCAGCGTTTAGAAGACACCGTGGTCACATTCTATATACAGTTTCAAATAATACATTTAATACAGGTGCGTTGGAACGTAATTCCTTGCCTAAAGGTTGGGCAGTCATATTTCGTGAACCACCAAGAATGAAATGGTCATAGAAGATAATTCCCAATAGAATTCTAAAATTGTTAGGGAAACG